GAAAACATTCCTACATATGACCAAAATCCAGAAGCATTAAAAGAGATTGACTCCAGGGCCGGCGCCGCGGCTCACTAGGCTAATCCTCCGCCTAGCGGCGCCGGCACACCGGGTTCTAGTCCCGGTCGGGGCACCGGATTCTGTCCCGGTTGCCCCTCTTCCAGGCCAGCTCTCTGCTGTGGCCAGGGAGTGCAGTGGAGGATGGCCCAGGTGCTTGGGCTCTGCACCCCATGGGAGACCAGGAAAAGCACCTGGCTCCTGGCTCCTGCCATTGGATCAGCGCGGTGCACCGGCCGCAGCGCGCCAGCCGCGGCGGCCATTGGAGGGTGAACCAACGGCAAAAGGAAGACCTTTCTCTCTGTCTCTCTCTCTCACTGTCCACTCTGCCTGTCAAAAAAAAAAAAAAAAAAGTTGGTTTAAAAAAAAAAAAAAGAGATTGACTCCAATTTAAGCAGAGAAAGGGCAAAGCAAAAAAGTCTCCCAAAATGTGCAACTAATATCACAAAATACTACTTTATAAAAAGATTCCACTTTTTAAGAAAGTAGGTCATCTTGATTGATAAAAAACAGAAAAAATGCAAATATCCCTTTAACAGGTGAAAAGCTTGACTATTTCTGCATACTTTCCCATTCTAATTTTTTTCTTTTCAATTTTGTTTTGTGTTTTAAATAGATTAAACATGTACAGGTTCCAAGATCAAACTATAAAATGGAATATATTTAAAGAAGTCCAGCTTCCATTCCTGTCCTCTCCCTCATCCTCTCATTCTTTACCATTTGTTATCATTTTTATTATATTTCCAAGTCCCTTTTTATTGTTTTAACATATAAGCAAATATTCAGTGGTATATGTATTCCTAGCCCTCACTTACAAAAAGTAACATACTAAACACATTCTTTTGTGCTTTTCATCTTCAATCATTTCACTTGTCTTTCATATTCCTCAACAATTTCATAATACTTCATTGTACACATACAATGTTTAAAAAGATACCCCTCTTCATTCATAAAAGATAAATGAAAAACTATACTGAGATACCATTTCCCACCTAATAAAATAGGAAAAACCTGGGAGTTTGACCATCTACTCTGTTGTAGAAGCTGTAGCGGAAAAGAAACTCTTGTGCTATTGATATGAATACAAAATTTCACAACTACTATGAAAAGAAATTTGGTAATATTAAACAAAAATCATACATTCTTTTATCCTTTGACCTTGCAATTTCATTTGTAGATATCTGTGCTTAAAGATGCATGGGCAATGGGCTGGCATTGTTGATTTTTTTTTAATATTTATTTATTTATTTTAAGTCAGATTTACACAGAGTGAGGAGATTAAGAGAGTAAGAGAGAGAGAGAGAGAGAGAGAGAGAGAGAGAGGTCTTCCACCCAATGGTTAACCCCCCAATTGGCCATAACAGCTGGAGCTGCACCAGTCTCAAGCTAGGAGCCAGGAGGTTCTTCCAGGTCTCCCACATGAGTGCAGGGGCCCAAGGACTTGGGCCATCTTCTACTGCTTTCCCAGGCCACAGAGAGAGCTGGATTGGATGTGGAGCAACTGGGTCTTGATCCAGCGCCCATATGGGATACCGGTGCTTCAGGCCAGGGCATTAACCCACCGCAACACAGCGCCAGCCCCAGCATTGTTAACAGTAAGCTGCCACCTGAAATGTCAGCACCCTATATGGGTGCAGGTTTGAGTCCTGGCTGCTACACTTCTGATCCAGCTCCCTGCTAATGTGCTTGAAAAAACAATGGAAGATGGCCCAAGTGCTTGGACTCCTGCACCCAAGTGGGAGACCCTGGATAAAGTTCCTGGCTCCTGGCTTCAGCTTGGATGAGCCCCAGCCTTTCAAATAAATAAAATAAATCTTTAAGAACAAAAGATGAGGGGCCAGGCTGTGGCTCAGTGGGTAAAGCCGCTGCCTGCAGTGCCAAAATCCCATATGGGCGCCAATTCGAGTCCTGGCTGTTCCACTTCCAATCCAGCTCTCTGCTATGGCCTGGGAAAGAAGCAGAAGATGGCTCAAGTCCTTGGGTCCCTGCACCTGCATGGGAGACCCAGAAGCTCCTGGCTCCTGGCTTCAGATTGGCACAGCTCTGGTTTTTGTGGCCAGTTGGGGAGTGAACCAGCAGATGGAAGACCTCTTTCTCTCTCTGCCTCTCTTCTCTCTCTGTGTAACTCTGACTTTCAAATAAATAAATAAAGCTTTAAAAAAAAAAGATGCATTGGCAAAAAGTCTGAGGGATATTCAAAAAGGTGGTGGAAAATATGTATTATGAAAAGACTGAGCCTACAGCGAGCATGGATTCAAATTTCTTTCATATATGTATTTTTTAAAGATTTATTTATTTATTTGAAAGGCATAGTGATGGAGAGAGAGAGAGAAACAAATCTTCCATCCTCTGGTTCAGTCACCAAATGGTCACAATAGCTGAGTCTGGTACAGGTGGAAGCCAGGAGCCAGAAATTCCATCCTGGTCTCCCATGTGGGTGGCAGGGGCCCAAGTACTTGGACCATCTTCTGCTGCTTTCGAGGGACATTAGCAGGAAGCTGCTTTTCAGGCACACTAGCAGAGAGCTGGATTGGAAGAGCAGCAGCCAGGACCTGAAACAGCACTCTGAATGGGGTTTCAGTATCATGAGCAGTGGCTTAACCTGCTGTGCCACAGCGCAGCCCTGCCAATTTTTTTTTTTGCATCATAATAAGCTTATATTTTAATTCCATTTTCCACAAACTTTTTGAAGTACCCTTGTATATTACATATGTACATGGGACCGTTTCCTAATGGAAGACTTAAAATAGACTGCCTTCATCAGTAGGCCTCATTGAATAAGCTATGGTAAACCCATATATAACCAAAACAAATTGTATCCAGTTTGTTTAGCAAACTGTATTTTAACTGTCTATCCTTAGTGGTATAAGAAAAGAAGATGCACAAAAAAACTTAAACATCATTCATCAGTCATATGTTAATAATATCATTAATATTATTCCATTTTAGTTATTCTTTATTCTGTTATTATATCTTTAAATGTAGTTATATATTGATAAAACAAATAGCAATTATGTTACTATCATTAAAACCAGTATTTTCAGGCCGGTGCCGTGGCTCACTAGGCTAATCCTCCGCCTGTGACGCCAGCACTCTGGGTTCTAGTCCCGGTTGCTCCTCTTCCAGTCCAGCTCTCTGCTGTGGCCCGGGAGGGCAGAGGAGGATGGCCCAAGTGCTTGGGCCCTGCACCCACATGGGAGACCAGGAAGAAGCACCTGGCTCCTGGCTTCGGATCAGCATAGCACCGGCCGTTGGGGCCATTTGCGGGGTGAACCAACGGAAGGAAGACCTTTCTCTCTGTCTCTCTCTCATTGTCTAACTCTGCTGGTCAAAAAATAGATAAAGATAAAACCAGTATTTTCATCTTAAGAGAAAGGGGACAAAAAAATCAAACAGCACACTTAGAAATAGGCACTCAGTATCCAAGGGCTGTCGTGAGTTTTTAAGAGGAAATCTGAGACATCTAAAATCTAGAACAATGTGTAGTTGGGAAAAGGGTTGAGGCTAAGGACAAGTAAATTTTTAAAATGATGTCTGAACTAAGTATATAAAGAACTGCTTCAGTTTCATCTCTGATCCAAGTTTCTTGTAAAAAATTCATGACTTGTATGGGCATTTACCTCCTGACTGAATGCTGGTTCCACTCAGTCACCTCACTTCCACTTTTCACCAAGTTATTTTCTACTGTTCTTCAGGTACGTTAATCCCTTGGGGCTCTCTCTGTGCCCTGGCTCCCCAAAAAGTATTTTATTGTGCGCGGCAATGGAATTATATCCCTTTTCTTACTACATTTCTCTGTTGATAAAAATCCCAGTATCTTCCTTTACCTTGAGAGCTAAAATTGATTCTGCTCATCATCTTGTACTGTATAATAAACACTAAACAATTGTCCCAATAAAGAAAACTGTTTAATTTCCTTTTTGTCCCCATCACGTTATGCAGACTTTTCTTCAGATCCGAAGGGCAGAACACTGAGGACCTGAATTCCAAAAGAGCACGGTGATTCCAAAAAATGTTCCCTACTTCAACGCAGTCACCGGGTAAATTCTCATGTCGCCCTGCCACCGTGAGGTGAGGCAGTGGGAGCAGCCCGGTGCACAAGGCCAATAACGAACGGTCGCGGTTGTAACCAAAGGGGATGAAGCAGAGCGGAAGTAAACGTGTACTGCGTTGTCGCTATTTAAACTGAGTCAGAAGAAACGACTACACCTCAGGGAACAGAGCATCTGGATGGGGTCGCTTATGTGGGAGAGTGGAGACACAGTTCGTGACCGGAGCTGGACATCACGTCAACAAGATAACCGAGGTTTCAGCACTGTCTGGGGAGGCAGCCGGGCCCCTCCGGGTCTCCGAACCCCAAAGCCCACCCTAGGAAGCGTCTGCAGCTGCCGCCTCCCCGTCGACCGCGCGTCCCTCGCACACTCTACCCTCTCATGACAGGTCTTCTTCATCGTCCTTAACTACCTCTGCACTAACACTTGCGCATCACCACCAGGTCCCCAAATCTGGAGCAACTCCCCCAAGTCGAAGTCCCCACCGAGGACTGTGTGTTCGAGTTGATAAAATCAGCTTTTGTGAATCCCAACTTAACTTGCCTCAGCTCGGGTTCCGTAGAGCTCGGGTTTCTGCGTAAGGGGGCCTTCAACCTCCGCCAAGTTCGGAAAAAATGAGAATGAGGTGTCTATTATAGCTCCCCGAATAGATTGTCTGAGGCGCAAGCCAAGTGTTGCGTATTCAAATACGCTTAAAAAAGCATTTCCCTCCAGAAAATACGGCAATGAAAGAGCAAGTGAAAGTCGTCTTTCTTTTCGTGTTTCTTAGGTTTGTCTGTCGTACCCGTCGCTGTCGCCTGTCGCACGCGCCTCCTAAGACAGGCGGCTCCTGGTCACCCTCCGGGGTCCTGATTTTGAAAAGAGGAGCGAGCCAATCAGATCGCCGAGCGCTGTTTGGCGCTGCCATTTGAGCCTGGGCTGGAACTGCGGTTGTGAGGGCCGTGCTGGCTCCAGTGCTTGTTAGAGGGCGTGCGGGGCGGAGGCATGAGGATCATTGCTTGGCTTCAGTGAACGCACCGGAATGTGCGTGCCGTGCGCCCTGGGCAGGCGGATGGGGGAAAGAACGAGCAGCCTGTGAGACGGCGTGACGGCGGCCACCAGCCCGGGCGGGGACCGGGACTGGAAGCGGCGCCCGAGCAGCCGGCTGGTCCGGCGGTCGGGCTGGGGCTGGGGGCCCGGGGGCTGAAAGACGAACGCCCAGCTGGGGCTGCTGGGGCGAGGAGAAGGCTTGTCTTTGCATTTCGCTGAGAGCCGGAGCAGGCCGTGGGAGGTTTGGAGCAAAGGGGAGTTATTGAAAGAGGCCGGAAGTGGTGAGAAGCTGTTAGCAGGCGTTGGGGTGAGGAACCGAAAAAAAGGGAGGAAGGTCTGTGTAGGTCGCTGAAGGGATTAGGTGATCAGAAAGAAAGGCGGTGGAAGTAAAGCAGAGCGAGTTGTGACTGGATTTAAGGGTCAGGAGAAGAGGGTCTGTGCAAGTGGGTAGAGAGGGGATCGAGGAGAAAGCGGTGGAAGTGGCCGGGAGGCAGCGGAGTGACCGGGGTCGGAGGGGCGCCCGACGTGGCCGGGAGGCAGCGGAGCGGAGCTCGAACCGGAGAGTGTTCGGAACTTGGAAGACTTGGTGGCGAACGAGGGTCAGGAGCCGGAGCCTGCCTCGAGGAGTGGGCGACGCGTCCGGGATGTGGGATCAGAGGCTGGTGAGATTGGCCTTGCTGCAGCAGCTTCGGTCCGTCTACGGCATTAAGGTCAAGGGCGGCCGTGGGCAGTGCGATCGCAGGAGACACGACGCAGCGGCCGCGGATATAGGGGTAAGTTCTGGGAAAGGAGTTTTGAGATTTTTTGCTGAAAAGGCACAGTCTGTGCGATCACTTGCTGTCGGGTTATGCTAAGATGTTCACCCTGTGTGGATCAAGAAGAGAATGAGCTTAAGTGTGTCTAACTCAATCCAGATGGCTACTGCTGATATTTAAAGGATGACATTCTTAGTTCTTTTCAGGGACTTGTGGATACAGAAAGTTGTAGGATTTTCCAGCCGCAGCGCTGTTGACATTTTGGACTAGGTGATTCTTTGCTGAGAGGAGACAGGAATGCCCTGCAAATTGTAGGATCTTTAGCAGTACCTCTGGTTTATATCCTCTAGCTGCCCATAGCATCTCCCAGTTGTGACAATTAAAAATGTCTCCAGGTATTGCCAACTTACTGTATTTTGAAGCAGTAGTGTGTGAGAAGAGAGACCACTTCTCCACCATTGTTTTGGAATAAGACTTGTAGAGGTACAAGGGTGTCTAGTGCATTTTCTGAATGTATTCGAATGGGAGACGTGACAGAACATTAGAAACAGGCTTCAGATGATGATACCTCTACACTCAGCAATCTGCAAGAAATCCTGCTGTTACTTCATATCATACTTTTTAAGACAAAGCTATTTCTAAACACTAACAAGTTTGAGAAGCCAGAGTGGAACGAATGAAAAGCTGTTGATAATTTTTTGGTGACTGAAATAAAGAAACTTTAAACTGTAGCTAATTTATATGCCACTTTCTAGTATGTGGAGACAAAAATGAATAAAAGTAATTTCCATAGCTTTTAATCATCTATAGTTTATTAAATAAGTAACTGGAGAAGAAAACTAACAAATGATATGTACAAGGGTACTTCAATAATTTCTGGAAAATGGAAGGAAAGGAATTTTTTTTAGTGCAAAAAATTTTGAAATCCAAGCATAATTTTTCTTAATATGCATTTTCTGTGTCTTTTTTTGATGACCCCTCATAGACCTCTTAATATCTTGTAAATTCTGCAGAAATTGTTTTTGCTTGCAAATTAATGACAACATCCTTATTTCTATTCAAAAACTATAGTGGTTTTCTTTTGATGATAAAACTTGCTTTCCAAGATCTTTGTAAGTATATGGAAAAATTTATACACAAATTTTCTTTTCAACCCTTAGCAAGATAAAATGACCCCTACTTTTAGAGTCAGACCTGAGTTTGAGTCCTGTTCTGACTCTAATGGGTCTGTGAATTTGGGCTGCTTGTTAATTTCCTTAAGCTTCAGCTTCCTGATCTATAAAGCAAGAATAATGTTATCTCTCCTTGGATTGTTTAGGGGATTTTGATGGCAATAAGGTCTTCAGATAGTCCTACATGGTATCTGTCACATGCCACTAAGTCAGCTAATGATAGTTATGATAATCAGTGGTCTACATTCTTGATGATAATCATGCTATAAAAATTCAGTTAGGAATATTAACAAAAATATCCTAAGAAAAATGCAGAAGATCATTGTGTTATATGAATGGGATAAATGTGTTATATGAATGAGAGGATAGACAGTTTGAGAAAGATTTCTTTAGCTCTTGGAGTTTGTTAGCTGATAGTTTTTGAACATTTTAAGCTGAAAATCTTTTTAAAAATGATATTGCAAATGAGTTTATAATACATAAAACATTGAAATCTTTTTGTTTTGTGAGATTAAATTATAGCAGTTCTTTGTGAAGCCAGTTACTAAAAATAAGATGTAAGGAAAAACTTATTTTTTGTGTAGTACTCATAAGGTGACCAAAGGAAAGTATAAGGTTAGTATTTATAAATCACTAAAGGAACCTATAGTACTGCTATTTTGGAGAAAATGGTAGTGTTTGGACAGAATTCTGTGGAGAATTTTCTGACTAAACAGTACCTGGATTGATTTTTCTATTATCAGATGGGAGACTGGCTGCATTTACTAGAGTGCTGGAGGGCAATGACTTATATCTTGGCCATCCTTATCCTCTTACCACCTAGCATAGTGTCTAATCTAATATAGTGGTTGTTACCAAGTGCACAATTGTTTTATACTGATTGATAACTTATAGTTTATTTCTGTTATCTTTTATTTCTTAAGGTTTTTAATTTGTCTAATGTAAAAGAAAAAGTATATTTTGTCTAATTTTTATTATAATAATTGAATTTGTCTTCTTAGGCTAAAATATTCGGAGTACCTTTTAATGCATTGCCTCATTCTGTTGTACCAGAATATGGACACATTCCAAGGTGAGGTGACTTTGAAGCAAAGAATAAAATGAGTATTTTAAACTGGTGTTAGTGGCTTAAAAATAGTTGTTTGAAAATAGCAAATTATTTTGTTTTTCTCTCTAAGATTTATTTATATGAAAGGTAGACTTTAAAAAGGGGGGGGAAGGGGCAGTGCTGTGGCATAGCAGGTAAAGCCATCACCTGCAACGTGGCATCCCATATGGGCACCGGTTCAAGTCCAGCTGCTCTACTTCCGATCCAGCTCTCTGCTATGGCCTGGGAAAGAAGTAGAAGATGGCCCACGTCCTTGGGACCCTGCACCCACATGGGAAGACCCAGAGGAAGCTCCTGGCTTCTGGCTTCAGATTGGCGGCCATTGCTGCCAATTGGGGAGTGAATCAGAGAATGGAAGATCTCTCTCTCTGTCTCTCCTTCTCTCTTTGTGTAACTGACTTTCAAATAAGTAAATAAATCTTTAAAAAGAAAGAAAGGTAGAGTCACAGGGAGAGGAGAAACAGATCTTTTGTCCACTCCCCTAAATGGTTCACTCCCCTAAATGGCAGTAATAGCCAGGTCTGGTCCAGGCAGAACCAGGAGCCAGAAACTCTTTGGGTCTTCCCACATAGGTAGCAGGGCCTAAGAATTTGGGCCACCTTCTGCAGCCGTCCCAGGTGCAACAGCAGGAAGCTGGATCAGAAGCAGAGCAATGAGAACTCAAACTAGTGCTCTGATATGGGATGTAATTGTCACAAGGTGCAACTTAATAATTTTGCTTAAGAAATGTTGAATAAAAGAACATTAAGCTAAAATATTGGAGTGTTTGTAAATATATATATTATATGACATTTACGCTTTTCTAAAGAACTTATTTATAAATTTTTAGATTGCATCAGAAACTACTAGGGGAATTTATATATGTATATATATATATATATTTTTAAGATTTATTTGTTTATTTGGGAGGCAGCATTATAGAAAGAGAGGGAGAGACAGAAAGAGGTCTTCCATTTACTGGTTCACTCCCCAAATGGCCACAGCGACCAGACAGACTTGAGCCCTGCACCTGCATGGGAGACCAGGAGGAAGCGCCTGGCTCCTGGCTTTGGATCAGCGTAGCTCCGGCCACAGCGGCCATTTGGGGGTTGAACCGACAGAAGGAAGACCTTTCTCTACTGAAGACAGGAGCCAGAAGCTTCTATCAGGTCTCCCAAGTGGATGTGGGGGTTAAGCATTTGGGCCACCTTCTATTGCTTTCCAAGGCCATTAGCAAGGAGCTGGATTGGAAGTGGAGCAGCCAGAACTTGAACCAGCACCCATATGGGATGCCGGTACTGCAGTGGGAGGCTTAACCTACTACGCCACAGCACTGGCCACGGGATTTTATATCTTTAGAAAATAGTTTTAAAATGCATATAAAGAAGCAACCTTATCTCTTTCTTAATTTGTTTCCTCTGTATTCAAAGTAGGGTTCATTTTGGATACTCTAGTCTAATAATTTAGGTTTAATTGATTCATTATTCGAAAGCATATATTAAATCCTTTGCTGTTGACAGTTTCCTCCTTTCATTCTTAGCTGTAGATGTGCAGTATTATAAGGTAACCAACTGGGGCTGGTACTGTGGCATAGTGGAGTAAGCCTCAGCCTGCAGCACAGGCACTGGGATGCCAGTTCATGTCCCGGCTGCTCCTCTTCTGATCCAGCTCTCTGCTATGGCCTGGGAAAGTAGTAGAAGATGGCCCAAGTGCTTGGGCCCCTACACCCATGTGGGAGACCCAAAAGAAGCTCCTGGCTTCAGCTCAGCTCAGCTCAGCTCAGTTCTAGCCACTGTGGCCATTTTGGGAGAAAACTAGCAGATGGAAGACCCTTCTCTCTTTCTCTCCCTCTCTCTGTAACTCTACTCTTAAGTAAATAAATAAAATCTTAAAAAAAAAAAAGAGGTAACCAACAGCTTACCATTTTTCTCTTTGAATGATGTATGGAAAGCTTGATTTTCCTGTAATAAAAACTTATGATGATTTTAAGCATTTCAAATTGCAAGTGTATCAGGCTGGCGCCATGGCTCACTTGGTTAATCCTCCACCTACGGCGCCGGCATCCCATATGGGCGCCGGTTCTAGTCCCGTTTGCTCCTTTTCCAGTCCAGCTTTCTGCTCTGGCCCGGGAAGGCAGTGGAGGATGGCCCAGGTGCTTGGGCCCCTGAACCCGCATGGGAGATCAGGAGGAAGCGCCTGGCTCCTGGCTTCGGATCGGTGTAGTGCCAGCCGTAGTGGCCATTTGGGGAGTGAACCAACGGAAGGAAGACCTCTCTCTCTCTCTCTCTCTCTCTCTCTCTCACTGTCTAACTCTATCTGTCAAATAAATAAATAAAATTGCAAGTGTATCCTCAGGAATAATGACTAAATCTTAGCTGTAATTTCTTGACCTATTTTTAGAAAAAAAAAATTGATATTGCCATCTCCGTAAACAGGACTGACATTCAGCCATGGGCACCTGTACAGCTTTGTCAGTTGTTTGCAGGTAGCATTCATTCTAATTTGTTGGTACCAGCTGAATATCTAAGTATCTAAATCCAGCGTTGATTGGGATTATTGCTCAAAAATAAAAGAAATTGAGTCTATACCCCTTAATACATGTAGAAAAAGAATTCCAAGGGCTGGAATGTATCTTTTCTGAGGGAAAATGTTGGGATGGTAATTGTGGCAGGGGGAGCCTTCCCTTAGTTTTGGGCCAATATAGATGATAAATATCTAAAAACTATTGGATTCTGTACAAGATCACCTATGGGGAAAGAGTAGATAAAAGAAGGCCTTGGGCAGAGTGTTGGGTTTTTCCAGTACATAAAGGTCTGGTAGAGGAGCCAGTAAAGGAGTTTGAGAAGGAACGACCAGGGAGATGGCAGGAAAACCAGAAGAGCAGTGAATAAATGTTTTGGAGATAAGCATATTTATACACAGAGGAAATCAGGGTCTGTTATTCATCTAAAACCAGGATGAGGAAGCGTTTTTCTGTCAGGGTCATTTGGATATTTATAACATCATTCGTGGGCCAAAATTATTAACTGAAAAATTAGCCTGCTAAAGATTTATTGAATTTTGAGTCCCACCTATAGTTGTCTTGGCAGAGCTAGACTTAATGATTTCATGGGTCTTATACTGCCCATGACATTCCTTACCCCTGATCTAAAAGCACTAAAGGTAAGCATATTCTTGAGCTATAATTTTTCAGTTCTACCATTTTCTGATTTGATTATTTTGGGAGTGGTCAAGTTTATCAGATGTTAATAGGTGAAGTAAGGGAGAACAGTGAATTAACAATAAATTTGGCAAAGCAGGTACCACTGGTGACCTTGATGAGTGCTGTTTTCATGAGAGTAATGAGAGGGATGAGTAGAGACTATGTTATGAAGAACAGTGAAAAAGATCCCTGTTGTGCTCTGAAGGGAAGCAGAGAATGGAGTAGGAGTAAGAGGGATAAAAGACTGAGTGGCCACACCAAAGTTGGCATGAGTAAAAAGGTGGGCCTTAGAGAAGTATTTAGGAGCAAGAAAGACAACTAAAAGTAACATTTTATCACAAATACTACACTGTTTTATGCAGTCAGAGCTTCTGTAAGGAGCATAGTGTGTGACCTGGTCATGTGTGTTGGCAGGAAAATAGGATTTGGTTAGATGCATATATAGCCACCTGAAAAATTTCTCTTTTCAGCTTTCTTGTTGAAGCTTGCACATCTTTAGAAGAGCATATTCATACTGAGGGGCTTTTTAGGAAATCAGGATCTGTTATTCGTCTAAAAGCACTAAAGGTAAGCATATTCTTGAGCTATAATGTTTTCAATTATGCCATTTTCTGATTTTTTTTATGAAAAATATTTACAACTATGACATAAATAATTGATGGAAACTGAATTTGTATATGACTTTTTTAATGGCAGAAAAACTTTTTTTGGAAGGCTATATATATCATTTCTGTAGTACTTTAAAAATTTAGAGTACTTTCAAATTCATGGTTGTCATTTCTACAATGTAATACATAAAATGGAAAAAATTCAAATTTTATTATTTTTCAACTAGGAAAGAATGCTGTATATATTAAGAATTAAGAGAAATGTATTAAAGAAAGCTCTTTTTTAAAACATTGAGGGGTGGAGAGAGAGAGCAAGCATGGATTTCCATCTGCTAGTTTACTACCCAAATTGCTGCAATGGCTGAGATTGACCAGACTGTAGCTGGGATTCAGGTTTAAGGCCTCCCACATGGTGGCAAGTACCCAGTTACTTGGGCCATCACTGCTGCCCCTCAGGGTCTGCATCAGCTGGAAGTTGAAGTCCAGGAGCCTAGCTGGGTGTTGAACCCAGATACTCCAATGTGGGACAAAGAAAGTTCTATACAATGTAATAAAGGATACTTGCTTGCAATAAGTTCTTAAGTCCCCCTCTTATGCTCACTAATATTATATTTATTTCAGAATAAACTGGATCATGGTGAAGGCTGCCTGTCTTCTGCACCTCCTTGTGATATTGCGGGGCTTCTTAAGCAGTTTTTTAGGGAATTGCCAGAGCCTATTCTTCCAGCTGATTTGCATGAAGCACTTTGCAAAGCTCAACAGTTAGGAACCGAAGAGAAGAATAAAGCTACATTGTTGCTCTCCTGTCTTATTGCTGACCACACGGTTCACATATTAAGATACTTCTTTAACTTTCTCAAGAATGTTTCTCTTAGGTAAGTGGAAATTAAATGTCATGGGACATGATAGCTTAATGTCTCAATAAGCTAAAGATTTATCCTTGTCATAATAAATGTCATTTGGAATGGACATTTTTCTTTAAAATACTACATTCCCTTACTCTATGTATACCTGTATAATTTAAGAAAAAACTAAAAAATGATTTAATATTTTCTTGCTGTCTTAAAGTCACCATTGTGAATGCCTTAAATTTATAGGTATTTTTAGGATTCGTCACTGAATAGCATTTGATTACTGTATGTTTAAAATATCTGTCTTTTGCTTTACAATTTTTTTCCCTCTTCCTGTTATAGGTTGAACCCATTTGCTATACACATACTTGCTGCCTTCTAATGCTTCTGATTTTCTTTGTGTGGGTTTGAAAATGGGTTAACATGTTCAATTTGTGTGGGAAAGTGTGAAGTCTATGATTAGCATAGTTTTATGGTATATTTAAAGATACAGAGTTGACATATTTTTGGTTCACATGTTTAAACCAGTTATATAGACACAATAGATGAAAGGTCATCATGTTTTCACTCGCGTTAACTAATAAAGTAAGAGGTCTTTGAAACAAAATGTGCTCAATATATTATTTTGACTCTGTATTTTTATCTTTGACTCCAGAATAAGATTTTTGTTTCATTTAAGGTCCAATGAGAATAAGATGGATAGCAGCAATCTTGCAGTAATATTTGCACCAAATCTTCTTCAGACAAGTGAAGGACATGAAAAGATGTCTGCAAACACAGAGAAAAGGCTGCGATTACAGGCTGCAGTAGTACAAACTCTTATTGATTGTGCATCTGATATTGGTAAGATATAGTTGCATTAAGTAACACAATTTTGTTTAAATGAGGAAGATCCCAGCTTTTGCCAAGTGAATTATGAAAACAACCACTAGAGGGACTGGCGCTGTGACAGAGGTTAAAGCTGCAGACTGATGCCAGCGCATGGGCACAAATTCAAGTCCCAGCTGCTCACCTCGGATTGAGCTCCCTGCTAATGTGCCTGGGAAAGCAATGGAAGATGGCCTAAGTCCCTGGGCCCCTGCACCCATGTGGGAAACCCAGATGAAGGTCCTGGCTCCTGGCTTTGGCCTTACCCAGCCCTAGCTGTTGCAATCAATTGGGGAGTGAACCAGTGGATGGAAGATCTCTGTGTCTCCCTCTGTAACTCTGCCTTTCAAGTAAATAAATATATCTTTAATTAAAAAAAAAAAAAAAAGAAAAGGAAACAACTCCTAGAAAGTTAGTATATTATGTAAACATTTTGGTGGAGGAGGTAAAGGAAGGATAATAATTGTCTTTCCTTCTTCAAAGAGGGAGGTGCCTTTCTCTGAAGGGAGGAGAGAACCTCCACTTTGACTATGACCGTGTCTAAACAAGATAAGAGTCGGAGAACTCAAGGGGCTTCCATAGCCTTGGAAACTCAGGACTGGTGCATAGGGAGATTACTGATGCCATAAACAGGAGTGTCAATTTGTAAAGTCAACAACAGGAGTCACTGTGCACTTACTCCTCATGTAGGATCTCTGTCCTTAATGTGCTGTACACTGAGGCTTAATGCTATAACGAGTACTCAAACAGTATATTTCACTTTGTGTTTCTATGGGGGTGCAAACGATTGAAATCTTTACTTAATGTACACTAAACTGATCTTCTGTAAAAAAAAAAAAAAGAAAAAAAAAGAAATTATCAATTCCCAACTTGACTCTCACTGGGATTAAACATGACAATAGGTCTGATCTGATTTCATCATCATTTAAAAAAAATCATCTATTATTTTTCACTTTATGTTTCTGTGTGGGAGCAAACTGTTGAAATCCTTACTTAAGGTATACTAAGCTGATCTTCTGTATATTAAGATAATCGAAAATGAATCTTGATGTGAATGGAAGGGGAGAGGGAGTGGAAAGGGGAGGGTTGTGGGTGGGAGGGACGGTATGGGGGGGGAAGCCATTGTAACCCATGAGTCATACTTTGGAAATTTATATTCATTAAATAAAAGATAAAAAAAAAATAATTGTCTTTCTTGTGAATATGTTCATGTAGGACGAGTACCAGATTTTATTCTGGAAAAGATACCAGCTATGCTGGGTATTGATGCTCTCTGTGCGACTCCATCACTGGAAGGCTTTGAAGAAGGTGAATTAACTCCTGGTGAATGTAAGAGAAAGCGAAGACAAAGTGTGGGAGGTAAGTTACATCTCATGAGGTACAGCAGTTTACTTTTATCTAAAATATGTTTGAACATAAAGAAATGTAAGCTATGGTATATGCCTTTTGATGCTTTTGTCACAGTTGGAAGGATGGCATGTATATGAAGAGTTAAAATGACAGCACCATCTATACTAAAATTGTTGAATCTTCAGTACAAACATAAAATATCTCAGAGGAGAAAAGTTCCCTGAATTGTAATGATTGGAACTCAGCAAAGAGATCAAACCTAGTCTTCTTAAAGAATGGGTAGAATCTAAGGGAATTGGGTGGAGGGTCAGAATTACTTATATTCTACTCTAAATGAGAATGATGAACATTTGTGTAGGGAAGAAGTTATCCATATCTATGTCTGTAAATAGGTCTGTGCAACTTGAGTGAAGGGTTCTTCCTAAGGGTTAAGATGGTGTTATGGTGAGCTTAATGCTTTTTTTTTTTTAAGATTTATTTATTTATTTGAAAGTCAGAGTTACACAGAGAGAAGAGAGGCAGAGAGAGAAAGAGAGAGACAGCTTAATGCCTTGATAAAGAATTAGAAGAGTAACATGGGTGTTGTTGAAACATTGAAGGTTTATGACTTGAGTCATGCCTAATTAAAATATTTAAGAAAATTATATGATTTGAAGAAGAATGGTCTGAAGCATGTGGCAAGTAATCCAGGTGTGAAATTAATGTTTGAACAAGTTAGTGACAATTAGGAGGACAAACTAAGTAATAAAGGATGTATTACAAAGAAGAATCAAAAGGCCTAAAGTTTCATCATGGAGTTGTTAATATTCTTATCTCCTGGTCAGAGGCCAGTCCTTTTCCATTTGCCTTAGGAAATTTCTTGTCTCTTGATAATCAGAACAAGTTATCAGCTATCCTTTTCCTTTTTTAATCTTATGGTTTATGTTATCGCATTCTTAGGTTTTTTCTTTGCCTCCTTTTTTGAACTTGCCTTATGGCTTCTATTTTATTTTCCTAGGGCTATGATAGCAAAGCACCAAAAACTTGGCTTAAAACAACAAAAATTTGCCTCATACTCTGGAGGCCAGAAGTCTGAAATCACAGAGTTAGCTGGGCCTCCAAGACTTAACCTGTAAAGACAATCCTTCCTTCTTAGCTTCTAGTGTTAGTTCTCAGTCCTTGGCGTTTCCTGGCTCGAGTTGCTTCACCCCCATTTCTGCCTTTGTCATTCCATGACATTTTTGCTATGTGTTCATATTTCCATCTCTGTAAGGTTACATCGGATTAGAGCTTACCCTGATGACCTCATTCTTACTTTAGTAGATCTGCAAAAATACCAGTTCCAAGGATGATCATGATTACAGGTACTAGGGATTAGGACTTAAACATATGGTTTTGAAGGATACAGTTCAACCCATAAAAGTTCTTAACCTCAAATGGAGATATTTTTCAGACATAGATCATCTTCATTACCTCTTTTCCCTTGTCATCTCATTCACTTCTATAGTTTCAGTTTCAGTTGTCACATCTTTATGGCTGTTTATCAGATCCCTTTTTTGTTGTCTCAAAAAATGACAATTGTACCTTACCAATGGCCTACTAAGCAAATGTCTTCACTTCTGCTTTTCCTTGGTGCTTTGAGCACAGTGTTTTTAAAATAACCATCTTTACCCTTTTTATGTTTATTTTAATTATTTGAAAGAGACAGAGATCTCCTACCTGCCTTTTTATTCCCCAAAAGCCCAACACAACCAAGGCTGGGCCAGGCCAAAGCCAGTTGTCTGGAACTCATTCTAGGTGTTCCCACAGTGGCAAGGCATCCAGTACTTGAGACACCTGGTGTCTCCCAAAATTTGCATATTGTTTTTTGTTGTTGTTTTTCTTTGTTTTGCATTATTTTAAAATGCTACAAATATGATTGCTTTTGCTTTGAAAAGTCTCAACTTGAAAAAAGTTTATAGTAAAATATGTGTTAAAGTTTTCCATCTTAACTTTTTTTTTAAATTTATTTGAAAGATAGAGTTACAGAGAGGGAGAGAGAGGTCTTCCAACTGCTGGTTCACTCCTGAAATGGCCACAATGGCCAGTGCTGAGCTGATCTGAAGCCAGCAGCTTCTTCTGGATCTCCCACATGGCTTGGAGGTCCAAGCACTTGGTCTATCTTCCACTGCCTTCCCAGGTGCATTAGCAGGAAGCTGGAGCAGCCGGGACTTGATCCTGCTCCCATATGGTATTCAGCACTGCAGGCAGGGGCTTTAACTAGCTGTGCCACAGCGCTGTCCCCCATTTTAACAATTTTCAAGTGTACAGTTCAAAAGTGTCAATTATATTCACATTGTTGTGCCAGTCTCCAAAACTTTTATTTTGATAAATATTCATGTTATGATAATTCTTAACAATTGTATTGCTTCATAATCCACACAGGACTCTGGGTAAATCTTAAAAGCAAAGTGATTCAGTTTATCAGAATTTTCCAGTTCTTTCCAGTATGCATGAATATGTGAGTGTGTGCTTCTGTTCTCATTGTGCTATCAAATATTTTTCATAGAGAGTGGTGCTGAGCAGATTAAAATGATGACCTTATTAGTGAAATACCTCCGATATTATAAACAGTAAGCTCATGAGACTATTACAGGGATTGAGACATAATTTTTCCATTTCTCTAAATATTCCAGGTATGTTTGGTGTGGTTCATGATGGAATCTGGATGATTTCAGAGTATAGAAGAAACTATTTTTGATATTCCTGATTTTGCTGTCCTAATTGTATGTTATCTGCTATGACTTAGTCTGTTGGCTTGATTATTTCTTCTGCTCTCTTTTTCTTTTTGTCTATTTTTCCTTTCCCATATTAGCCTTGATTATGTGTGTGGGTGCCAAGAGATAGGCCTTTGTCTGCCAGTTAAAGTGTTTCCTGTTTTTGGTTCTTCATTGAAGTTTTCAGTATTATTCTGGTTATAACTCTTTCACTTCAGGGTGTAAGATTTCTCAATAATATAAATGGTTATTTTTGATCTTAAATAAGTATTTTGAGTAATATTTGGTCATTAATAAGGTAATGGAATATATTTAAAGGGCTGTAACATTTCATTGTGACTGAAAAAATTAGGGACATACTTGGAATGAAAGTATTCCTTTTGAGTTTACAGTAATTTCCTAACAGCTAAATCCAGCATATATTTTTAGAACTCTATTATTCAGACTCTCTGACTACTTGATTATTTCATTATTGGTACTTTTTCTTATTTTTTGTAATTCCATGTTGTCTTTGTTCCTTTACATGTTTTGCCATTTATTTTTTCTCAGTTTCTGGATTTTTCTTTTTCTAACTTCCTTTTAAATATCTCGTTTTTCTTTAGTTTACTTTCTCATACTTTGCACTGTTTCAGTTGACCTTACATATTTGTATTTTTTAAAGCCACAGTTTCTGATCTGATGACTCCCAAATTAACTTTAGTAGTCCTAACAGAGAGATCCATGTCCTTTCAGTATCTCATAAGCATGTCTAACTCTTCTTTACATACTTTGCTTTTTTGCTTTAGTGATGCAGCTGTCTACTCAGTTATCAAAATGAGAACTCTAGTGTCTTTATCATTTTTCCACATCCCCCAAATCCATTGATCAAAACTGTTATCACTGTGGTCTCTTAAGTTCCTTTGTTCCTTCTGCTTTCCATTGCTTCTGCCTTATTTCAGATCTTTATCTCATGCCTCAACAGGTAATAATTCCCTTCCCTGTCTATATTTGTATTGCATTTCACTCTGTATTTTGTCTTTTTTTAAAGGATGGGAAATTAAAGGAAAATATACCCATTCATATATTTATATTTGTTATTTTAAATTAATTCATTTTAAAGGCCTTAAATAACTTTAAAATGTATATGCTAATACGAAGTTAGCTATTGAAAGAAGACTTCAAATTTCAATATGAATAATTGGTGAAAGATAGGTATATGATTGATTATATTATTGATTATATAATTAAATTGATTATATAATTAAATGTGTCTTGCATTTCAGATTTTGTTAATGGAGCACTCAGTAAACTTAGGTCTACCAGAACACCCACCTTTACACCTCAACCAGAAAGAATTAGTAAGTATTTATTATGTTATTTATTTGAATGAAGATTTTGGTAGTATTGTATAAAAAATAATTTATTTTGGTTAATGATCAAATTTAGTTTAGTCATATCCAGTATCACTTTCAATGAAGACGTTGTACTGTGTATACTATGTTGTGACATTGCTAATTACAGTGGAGATGATGGTAGTTAAGAATTGTTTTAGCCTATTGTTTCATCTCTTATTTATGATTTTTGGTTGCTTATCATTTGTATACTATTGAACATGTGAAAGTGGTTGTAGTTCATTTTATATAAGAACCAGAAGATTATTGTTATGTGTTTTGATTTTTTTATCTTAATTTGCTGTGGCTAACATTCAGCCAATAACAGAAAAAGTGATTCTTTGTTTTGTTTTCCAGAGTGAAGAAATGCAGTGGTTAATAGTTGGGAGAGGCAGAAATAATGTTTAGATCCATTTTTGTTTCAACTTCTACCTATGATTTTTTTCCCTATGTTAAATTAACATTTTTCAATATGTATCATGTTCAATTTTTGTGTATTTGGTTTAAGTTATTGCTGTTTCTTAAGAGTTGTACTGTTTCCCTGTTTTCATTTTAAGTAGTTGAAGAATATCAATTTAGTTATATAACCTGTATTTGATAATGAAAATGTATCTCCCCATTTTTGATTAGCTCTAAATAATAGCTATATAAGAAGAAATTATATAAATCTTTGTATTTTATCAACTCTATAGAAGAAACAGCAAATTGATTTGGTTTTCTTTTCAGCCCAGCTATCTGGATCACCAGTGATTCTTACTCCAAATGCTAAACGTAAACTGCCAGTAGATTCTTCTCATGGTTTCTCAAGTAAAAAAAGGAAGTCCGTCAAGCACAACTTTAACTTTGAGCTGTTGCCAAGTAATCTCTTCAGTAGCAGTTCTACGCCAGTATCAGGTAGCAAATGGAATTTTTATGTAGTTGGATTATAAGCATTAGCATGAGTGACTATTCTGGGCAAAGAAATATTTCCTACTAATAACACTCTTAAGAGCCAGAACTTTATTCTGTTTTATCAAATCTCTGAATTTTTATTAAGTCCCATACTTTTAAAACTAGACAGTAGTTCTTGTGTGTGTGTGTGTGTGTGTGTGTGTGTGTCTATGGACATGTCTATTGAAAATTATGATAAATAAGAGTGAGAATTTTGTGTTTTTGGGTAGCACTGATGCTGAGGTTTTAAGAGACTGGATGGTCTTAATCCTCCTTTAGTTAATTATGTATCTATAGCTATGACTCTATTGCTTGTTGTTGAGTCAAGTTGCCAAGAGTTTGATCATTTCTGAGTCCAGAGTGGAGGTATTACCATTGTGAGTTAGTTTTGGGGAGGAGTGTATTTTTAAAATGTTGTACTTAAGTATCTTTTTTTAAAAAAAAAATTATTTATTTATTTGAAAGGCAGAGTTACAGAGAGGCAGAGGAAGAGAGAGAGAGGTCTTCCGTCTGCTGGTTCACTCCCCAGATGGCCACTATGGCCAGAGCTGCGCTGCTCTGAAGCCAGGAACTTCTTCCGGGTCTCCCACACAGTTGCAGGGGCCCAAGGATTTGGGCCATCTTCTACTGCTTTCCGGGGCCATAGCAGAGAGCTGGATGGGAATTGGAGCAGCCGGGACTTGAACCAGCACCCATATGGATGCCAACACTGCAGGCAGAGGCTTTACCCGCTATGCCACAGCGATCCTCCTAGATTTTATTTTGTTCATTTCAGACAGTTAAAAGTTTTATTTTGAATTCAATATCTGAGTTATGAGCCCCCTCCTCAAAAGGCTGCTTTTTGTTTATTACTAGAAAGGCTTATATTTTCCTTGTTTTATTACAGAGTTGAACAGAATACCATCTTGGTGGTTTTCCAGAAGAAAAGCATTTTCTTTATATTTCTTGAGAGTTCATATATGGTTCATTTAAGTGTAATGATAAATTCTGAAACTTTTGTTTGTTTAAGGTTTATTTGTTTTATTTATTGTAAGACAGGGAGAGAGGGAAGGGAGAGAGAGAGAGACAGAGAGATCTTTCATCTGCTGGTTCTTTCCCCAAATGGCTGCAGTGGCCAGGGCTGTGCCAGGCCAAAGCCAGGAGCCAAGAGCTTCTTCCTGATCTCCCACATGGGTGCAGGGCCCCAAGCACTTGGGCCTTCCTCCTCTGCTTTCTCAGGCACATCAGCAGGGAGCTGGGTCAGAAGTGGGGCAGCCAAGACTTGAACTGGTCCCTATATGGGATGCCAGTGCCACAGGTGGTGGCTTTACCTGCTATGCCAAAATGTTGCTCCCCTGAAACATTTCTGTAGCTCTTTCAGGATTCAGAAGTTGGAGCTTGAAGTTTCTTTAAAGTAGCTTGATGTTTTCTAAATATTTAAAAGTGTTCAGTTTGGAAGTCGTTTTCCAAATGACAGGTAGGAATAGTAATTCTGCCTGCATTTGCTTATTAACATTATAACATCTTCCCCAAAGAGTGAACCTTTTGATTTCTTTTTCAAGTTGCCCAAAAAGAAGTTAAACATTCTTGTGTTATTTTAACATTAGCTTGAGCCTGCTTAATGAATTTTCATTACTAAAAATTATAATAGTGCAAAAATAATTCCATTATTTTTAATTCATCATTTTTCTTTGGCCCTGCTAAAAAGTCAGTCACAATTCAATAAATCCCATCTACAAAATTGATAGGCTCATTTCTGAGTTTTAACTTTAACAGCTCTGATGCTATTTTTTAATGTATAAAGGCAACATTAATCTATAATCCAGAGTACCTATTTATATTTTTTTTCTTACATGCATGACATGTATTCTGACTGTGCCTCCTTGTGATCACAGACACATTTTCTTAAGGCGACTTTAAAGCTACCCATGTGATACTGAAAGTATTATATTGGCCACCAAAATTTTCTTCAGCCAAAGGCAGTCAAAAGCCATTGTAATGGTTGTTATTGGAACTTTGTGAATGCTTTATCAATAATAATAAGTTGAGAAAGTTCATGTTTATTGAGTGTTTACTGGGTACGATTCAAACATAAGCTAAAAGATATATGGAGGCTTTGTTCATAACTATTTCACTTTCTTCATACGATAGTTGATTTAATGATATAAATGATTTTAAACAACTTAATTAAATTGAACTTAATGTCATAACAACCAATTGTCAGAATGTAGCAGCAGCTAAGTGACTAGGCATTGTTATAGATGATTAGTTTTTGTTTGTCAGAAATATGAGTTGGACAATTTATAACCCAGAATGAGGGGACCAACAGTTGGCTAGTAATTGCATCTTGGATACTGAGAGACTTAACTTGTCAGTAGTTTATTTTTGATAATAATGTTAATGTTATGAGGGCACTTCAAAAATTTTATGGGAAAATTGAGTTAAAAGATGTTGGAGCTGGCATTGTGGCACGGCAGGTTAAGCCTCCATCTGCAGTGCTGGCATTCCATGTTAGAGTGCCATTTTGAGTCCTGACTACTATACTTCTCATCGAGCTTCCTGCTAATGTGCCAGGAAAACCAATGGCTCTGTGATTTTTTGTTCCTGCCACCAACATGAGAGACCAAGATGGAGCTTCTGGTTCCTGGCTTCAGTCTGGTCCAACTGTGGCTGTTGCAACCATTAGGGGAGTGAAACAGTGGATGGAAGATTTCTCACTGTCACTCTGCATTTCAAATAAATAAATAAATAATGAAACTTTTTAAAAAAATTTATTTTGGTCAAAAAGTTTTGAAATCTATGTCGTTTTAAACCCATTATACATATGATTTCAAGTTATTTTGCACCAAAAAAGCTTTATCTTTTAATTTCGTTTTTTCATGAACTTTTGAACTATCTTCAAATATACTGGACACTGCTGGACATTTTGTGTACATTACAGTAATACTTATATTCATCAGTGAAGTCCATTTTCAAAGTCTAAATTTATTTAACAAGTGGTGGGACAAACTCATGTCTGTCTCTAAAGCTTGTTTTTTTTTTCTAGTCTGTAACAGGATCCATCCCTTCCCTTGTATTGTTAAGAGTTTAAAGCATAACTTCAATATAAAATTAATGTTTGGGGACAAGTGTAATGGTGCAACTGGTTCAGCTCCCACCTGTGATGCCCACATCCCATATCAGTGTGCTTGTTGGAATCACAGCTACTGTGTTTCTGATCCACTTTCCTGCTAATATAACCTGGGAGACAGCAGGTGGCGGCCCAAGTTCTTGGGCCCCTGCCATCCCCTTGGCAATTGTGGATGGAATTCCAGGCTCCTGGCTTCAGCCTGGCCCATCCCTGGCTGATAGGGGCATTTGGGAAGTAAACCAGAGGTTAGAAGATTTTGTGTGTGTGTATGTGTGTGTGTATGACTTTCTAGTAGCTGAAAATAAACATTACCAAAAAAGGAGTAATAGTTAATCCAACTTATAGTTGTCAATGAAAAATTAAATCAGTATTTGGTAGGAGAGGTGGTATGAATTGGGTATTTGACACTTGAATTTTCTAACCAGAAATTATGTGATTTTTGTTTTTGCTTAGGGGTGAAAATTAAGGATTTATTTGCTGCTATTATTATCTTACACTTTGAATAGAAATTAAGTATGTTTTATATATGTGGTTATTTTTATAGGACACTGTGATACAAGCCCAGGAGGATCATCTCAGAGTTCACTCTCTCCTGTCAGTGGAAACCATTTGATCAATGCAGGTGTGCTAAGGCGAAGTAAAAGGATTGCGGGCAAAAGTGTTTGCAGGTAATTTATCCAGGACAGTTTGTTTATATTGGATAAATATTTGATATTCATAAAATATTTTTTCTTTCAATGAAAATCATATTTGAATCATGCTTTTAAAAAATCTCCTGACTTATAAATCAGCTGTCCTTATCTATCAACCAGAAAAAAGTTCCCTGATTTGAGTCTATTTTGCTTCCTTAAAAGCCTACTTTACAGTATAATTTCCTGTTAGTTTAGAAAGCTAGTATATCCTAATGATCTGATTATATAAGTGACTAAATAACTTTTATGATAAACATTTTCAAATGTAAATGTAATATGTTCCCACATGGTATCTTAAATGATTTTAAAATATTGTTACTGTGTTCCATTATTGGCAATATGACTTGCTATTGACTTTCAATTTCGTTTTGCAAGAATTTCTCTAAATATTTGTGTTATAAATTGGCATTTTTAAATTCCTTTATTTTTAGGGTGGAATCAGGAAAAGCAGGCTGTTTCTCTCCTAAAATCAGTAGAAAAGAAAAGGTTCGAAGATCTCTTCGTTTGAAATTTAGTCTGGGGAAAAATAGCAGAGATGTAGTAAGTGTCGTATTATTTTATTGATCTGTTTATAGTAGCAAAAATATGTTGACGATTCTAAGAGGCCCTCTTGACTCTCCCTTTCTCTATCGTCCCATACTTCTTCATACCAAACGCTTATATCTGAGTTAGTATCTCCAGTTCCTGTTTCTACTCTGCTTAAAATTAAATCAATTATAGTCAGGCCTTTGTCCCAACACTCTGTTGAAACTGCTCTCATCAAGGTCACCCACAAATTTAACATTGCTCAAATCAAAAATCAAATATCAAATAACTTACTCAACTTGACCTGTCAACAACATTTGACACTGTTGTTCAATTGCTCCTCTTTGGTGTATTTTATTTCCTTGTTTCTTTGCTGGTTACTTTTTGAATTCCATCTCCTAAAGTTCTGTATCATTTCTCATCTGCATTACTCCAATAAGCTCCTACTAACAGATCTACCCACTTCTGCCCTTGCTGTGGTACTATAGTTCAAACTGGACTTTAAGACCTGAGTTTTTGTTTTGATCTGTCTAGGATATAAATTCCATGTATGTAAGATTTTGATTTGGTTTTCTTCCTTTTCACTATTTATGAACTGACCCTAGCACAGAATCAGTACAAAAATTCTTTTTAATTAATTAATATGCTATTATTTTTTGTCAGAATGTCTGGTAGCTAAATCACATGCTTGTAGTTTCTATTGTTAGGCAAGAATATTTGTTTTGTAATAAAATTGTTTCCCAGGTATATGTGCCTTTTAAGTCAGCTGTTGATTTTGAGCACCACAAAAAATTTACTTCATCTTGATTATTTTGAACTAACCAGGTTTATTTCATAGCCAAAATGTTTCAACTTTTCTTTTCTGTACAGAATGGTTGTTCTGGTGTCAACAGATATGAAAATGTTGGTCGGCGGCTTGCAAATCAACAAAATTTTAAAAATAAAATTGAATCTGTAAAAACAGGTCTGCTTTTTAGCCCAGATATTAATGAAGGATTACCGAAGAAAGGTATGTTTCTGTAATACTATAAGTTTTTCCAAAAAATTTTGTGTTAAGTTGGTTTTTAAATATAATTAATTAATTTTATTTGAAAGAGTCAGTGAGACCTCGCATCTTCTGCTCCCCAGATGCCTGGGAACTGGGAACCCAATTCAGGTCTCCCACATTGGTGGCAGAGATCCAAGTACTTGAGCCATTGGCTGCTGCTTTACAGAGCGCAGTTTAGCAAGAAGCTGAAATTGAGAGTCACGGCTCTAATCCTGGTTCTCTTAAATGGCAACTTAACTGCCGTGCAAAACACAGCCCCTTGTTTTGAGTTGCTTTTCTTAATGGTAAAATATATTAAATAATTTGCTATTTAGAAATTAAACTTTGGATTTAAATAGTAAAAATTTAAATTGCCAGTATATCTTTCTATCAATAATTAGATAATGCATATAAATATAAATATGAAAGTGTTTGACATTCTTATTTAAAGTATTCTTTTAGGCCGGCGCCACGGCTCACTAGGGTAATCCTCCGCCTTGTGGCGCCGGCACACTGGGTTCTAGTCCCAGTCGGGGCGCCGGATTCTGTCCCGGTTGCTCCTCTTCCATTCCAGCTCTCTGCTGTGGCCCGGGAGTGCAGTGGAGGATGGCCCAAGTGCTTGGGCCCTGCACCCATGGGAGACCAGGAGAAGTACCTGGCTCCTGCCATCGGATCAGCGCGGTGCGCTGGCCGCAGTGTGCCGGCTGCGGCGGCCATTGGAGGGTGAACCAACAGCAAAGGAAGACCTTTCTCTCTGTCTCTCTCTCTCACTGTCCACTCTGCCTGTCAAAAAAAAAAAAAAAGTATTCTTTTAACACGAGTCTTTAATTTATTGAAATTGGATACTTAGTATATTTATTTGTCATGTCTTTGGTTAATATTTAAAAAACTAGTTCAAATATAAAAGACTAAAAGCACTGAACCACTTTATTTTAGGTTCAAAAAAGATCAGTAAATCTGAGGAAAACTTACTAACTCCAGAGCGACTAGATAGAACAAGTTATCGGATGTCTTGGACAGGGCCTAGTAATTCAAGTTTTCAAGAAATGGATGCAAATGAAGATTCTCCAATAGTGGGAAATCTTGAGGTGGAAAACTCTTCTTTGGAGCCTGATATTACAGTTGAGAAGTCACCTGCTATGTCGTATGAACTCACTCCTTCCAGTTTACACAATACACATAATAGCAATGTAACAGGAAGCTCTCTTAGTGGGGATGAAAATAATTTGACCACAGAGACTTTGGTAAAAATTCAGAGAGCATTTTCTGAATCTGGGAGTAATCTTAATGTATTGATAAATCACAGGCAGTCATCGGTAACTAATGTGGCTAACTTAGAATCAAATGAAACATCTTCTATAGAAAATAGCCCAGAGAAAAATCTATTTGAAACTAATGATTTAACTGTGAGAGAATCAAATGAAAAGTGTGAACACTACACTTGTAAAGATGAAAGTCATTTTTCAGAAAGAGACTTCTCACCACATCAAACTCAAAAATTTGGTACAGAAGCAACTGTAAAGGGTTGCTCAACACAGATGAAAGTAGAATATGAAGAAGATGTTCCTTCAAATATGGCAAAAGATAACTTAAGCAAAGAACAATGCACCAGTGATGAACAAACAGAGAAACAGCAATCTCCAAGCAAAAACCTAAATACAAAATTAACGGAGAATGAGAATGTGATTGAAGAGAATTTACTGAAATACACTGCTTCTGGGGAGGATGAGGCTAAATCCTCTTCTTCACAGCAGAGTATGTATAATATAACAAACATGTCAAAACCTAGGCCTATGAGAATTGCTAAGCAGCAGTCACTGGTAGAACCCTGTGATAAAATGGTTTCTGGAAGTTTACAAGTGACAGAGCATGGAAAGGTTTCAGATCACATACAGTGGTTTAACAAGCTTTCTTTAAATGAACCAAGTAGAACAAAAGTGAAGTCACCTCTGAAGTTTCAGCGTACACCTGTCCGTCAGTCTGTCAGAAGAATTAATTCTTTACTGGAATATAGCAGAGAACCTGTCCGACGTAAGTTGGCAAGTCAACTTGGTGATGCAGCTTCTCCTCTGGTGAAATCAGTGAGCTGTGACGGTGCTCTTTCCTCTTGTGTAAAAAGTACAGCAAAAGATTCTTCTACTTCATGTGCCAAATCAGGTTCTAAGGAACAGAAGTCTACATCTTGTGAATTGTCAAATGATACAATTTCAAAATCAGGTGTAAAATTAACATCTCAGTCTTTCTCAAAAACAAAGAGGCACCCAGATTCCATGAATCCTAATCTTGGATCTACCCGAGTTTGTAAACAGGGGGTGGTATCTGATTGCCAAATTAAAATTCCCTTGGATGACCTGACTAATCATGATAATTTAAAGTCTGTTGTAAATATAGGCTTTTCTGCTGGGAAAAATAGCAGGGTCCTTAGGAAGCCATCAGAAAGAGAAAGGGTCTGGTACAAAGGTTCCCCCAAAAATCCTATTGGAAAAGCTCAACTACTACCAACAAGCAAACCTGTAGACTTGTAATTAGTAAATGTTATACTTGTCATTAGTGTAAATAAAATTAGAAATTGATGTGAGTTACAGGATGTTAGTTTGTGACTTGGGATGAATGTTAAGCAATAGATTTTCTCTGAACTATTTTTAATTTTACTGCACAAAGAACTTGGAAGTTCATACTTGTACAAATAACTTTTTTCTTAATTGTGGCAGTATTTAACCTTTTAAGTTTTATCATGATCTCTTAAAGCAGAGGTTACTCTACATTTTTAAAGAAGTTACCTGGATTTGTAAGAAATTAGTTTTTGAAAATTACATGTTTTTTTTTTTAAATTTGTGATAGGAAGAATGGAGCAAGTTCTGCCTGTTTCCTGTATTTCTCCAAGTCAAATAAGTTTTCTGCAGAAAATTTCTACTTTGAAAAGGGAAAAAATAAGCCCTGCAAATATTATGTCTTAAATTGGATTATTGTGTTTATTGTCTTTACCAAAATCACTATAAATTAATTTGCTTCAAAGCTTCCCAGTACTTTATTATTTGGGGTAGAGTAATTTGATTGATATTGCCTACAGATGTATAATGTGTTCAGTGAAATTAAGAATAATGGCTAAGGCAGAGTAATGACTCAAGTGTGCTTATAGGTTATGATACAGAAGTAATTGATGATTTTCAAGCCATACTTTGTTTTTAAAGGTAATTTGCACAAATACACTTGTACCTGTTTAGTCCAACATAAAAATGGATTATTTAAGGAGGAATAATTAAACTTGAAAATATTTAATAAAGGTGATTTTTTTTTATATTCAGGATGCTTGATTTTAGAATTTGAAATAGTTGATGCACCTCTGTACATTTTACTTGGGATAAAAACCCTTTGATTGTTTTGACTTGTGTGTAAATGTTATTTATTTAGCATAGACATTAAAAATAGCTTTCTGGAAAATGAATTGGCCAGAGACTGTTGAAATCCAAAGTGCCATTTAGAACTTATACCAAGTTGTTGAGCAAATCTGACTGAATTTATAATGTATGTTACTAGAAATGACATCTTTAAATAAAAGTACTAAAAGAAGGAAGAAGCACACAGAATCAACCGTAAAGACAGTTTTGCAGGTCAGTTGTTAGAATGCCATGTTTAGATGTTATTTGGTGCAGAATAGAGCAGTGTGGCACAGCAGTTGAAGCAGCCAGATTTAAGATGTATGTATGAGGCATTTCAAGTCATCAGATGTTTTAGTGACAGCACAACTGTTACTTCAAAGCTGTTTCATGTTTCTGAGAAAGAAGCCAGTCATTTATTAGAACAAGTATTTGAATTATCTGAAGACTGTAAAAATAGTTAGATATAAACATGTCTATCTGTTACAAAAACAAGTTTGTAATGTAAATTAGGTCTGCATTTCAGATGTTTATGGTATTTCTAATAAGAAGAGATGAAATATTTGTACATTCAGATACATGTTGTCTGGATTAAAACAGTGTTTTAGACTTCACTTTTGAATTTGAAAATGCATTAATATAATCTTATAGCCATAGAGGGGAGTATGAAATGTTGAATTGGAAGATTTTAATTCAGTAAAGGAGTTTAGGAGATTAACTGTAAATAATATGAAATACTGGCTTTTCTGGAGCATGAATTGATAACAAAAGATCTTTATTAAAAAAAAAAAACTACACACATGCCACCCCCATTTTTATTAGCTGAAAGCTGTGATAGAGAGGATGAGAATAGGAGCAAACAGCTTAGAGGGATATAGTTGGAGGAACAGTCAGGAAAGGTGAGTTTTTGACTTGATTTGATCTTTTATCTTTTTCTCTCATGTTTAAATTTTCATTTTACTTGAAAGGTAGATTTGGCCAGGTCAAAGCCAGGAGCCTGGTACTCAGTCCACATAGGTGGCTGCGTCCCAAATACATGAGCCATTACCTGGTGCTTTCCAGGTGCTCATTTAGCAGGAAACTGGATTCGAAGTGGAGGGAGGAGCCAGGAGTCCAACCAGGCAGTCTGAGATGCTGGTGTCCTAAGTGGTGACTACTAGTTGTGCCAAATGCTTGCTCCTGTTTTCTTATATAGCATGGAGATACTAAGTTTTCAAGTTATTAAGCTATGGGATATTTGATCAAAGGACATCAGAAGTGTCTGGACATGAGCAGTAACATCAAATATTCTTTTCACTTGATCGTGTAATTTTAAAGATTTAATATTAATTTGGTTGTTGAGAACAATACAACAGAGTATATACAACTTACTTAAGTAGGCTGCTTGACAACATCCTGTGAGCACCAAGAATTTAAATCAGAGTTTTCATAATCAAGTCCAGGATATAGATGCTATTTTGGAAATAAAAAATTTCACACAAGTAAATTTTGATGGATTTCAGTCAAAGGTCCATTTAATACAGAACCAATAGATCATGAAGTTCTTCATTTTCCCAAGCATAAAATGAGGACAGTGCTAAAGTAAAATTCAAAACTGGAAAACAATGGGTGCCGGTTCTAGTCCCGGTTACTCCTCTTCCAGTCCAGCTCTCTGCTGTGGCCCAGGAAGACAGTGGAGGATGGCCCAAGTGCTTGGGCCCCTGCACCCACATGGGAGACCAGGAAGAAGCACCTGGCTCCTGGCTTCGGATCGGCTCAGCTCCGGCCGCAGCGGCCATTTGGGGGGGTGAACCAACGAAGGAAGACCTTTCTCTCTGTCTCTCTCACTGTCTAACTCTACCTGTCAAATAAATTTTTAAAATTTTTTTTTAAAAAATCCTGGAAAACTATGCGTCAATAATAAATACTGAACTGCAACAGTCTTTGAAGCCAGAGCCAATGCATAGTTTTGGTTTTTTGGATTTAACATGAACTGAAACAAGAAGCGAACAAAGAGCAGCTATGGAAGAAAAAGGCCCAGGAGAAGGCTTAGCTTCAAAACAAGAGACCGTGTGTCTTGTGAATGAATGTTGCCGGCCTCTCTGTTCATTGCATGAAATTGTTACGGATGGTAAGGGACTTTCCCCACAGAGCTAAGGTGAAGAGACTTGAGTTCTAACTCCTTCAGGTTACTTATTCTCAGGCCCCTGGTTTTAATAGCAGCTACTACTCTTTAGTTATTTACTCATGCCTAGTCTTGACAGAAAAATTTTCAATTCTGTGTTGCATGGCTTTACATTTCAATTGTTGTATTTGAACAAATTCCAAAAGTTCAGGATTGCTCAGTCATTTAACAAAAGTGGTCTATCTGGATGTAATTCTGCAATATTCTCGGAATGTGGTTTCTCTTCAGGCCTGGTGAATTTTATTTGGTGGTTGTGAAAGTTTAGAAATAATACAGCTCATACTCAGAGATTTCTAGCATTCTGAATGAAATACCCGCCCCCTAGTTTTCCTGCAAAATAAAAGGGCCCCTGAAAGCAATGTTCGCTACTACCATTTAAAGTTCTCAGGATTTTACCTTCTTCACTCCCACTATTGCCTCTCCTTCTGACCTAAAGGACTTTAAAAAAGCAGTTCTAGAACGTGACAAAATTAAAAGTGTGGCGAAAAATTAGAGGCTCTCTGGCACCGCGTTTATGTAATTGCTTGAGATTGAGAAAGCAAATGAATGATTTCTACAGCCGGTGTAAGAAAGGGGCTCTCTAGAAGGTTGCGTAGTCAGAAGGCGGAGGTTGAAGCGCTCCTGGCCAAAGACTGGCATTTAGCGTGCCTTCTGGGCATCCCTGGAGAGGCCGCTTCCACCTGCTGGAGGCGGGGCCAGGGCGGAGCTAAGATGCGAAGGGAGGTGACGTACACCCTCGAGCTCGCCAGGCTCCCGGCCCGACCCCAACCCAGGCCCACACCGCAGTAGGCTCTTCGGGCTTCCACTGGGTGAGTACCCTAACGATGACTCAGCCCAGTGTGGCTCTCCCTCCAGAAATATGCGGTCCTTCGGGATCAAGAGTCGGGGACTGGGGGATGAAGTGAGCTGGAGGCTGGAGTCAGACAAAGGCTGGGAGGGGGATGAGGGAGTTGGCAATAAATAGAGAAAGGAGAACCGAGGGAGGAGATTGGCCAGTTCGTCAGATCGCAACGTGGGTAAGCAGGGGTGGAAAGGAAATATCACCCACCTTCAGCCGATGAGAAGATGGAGAGGGGTGAGGAGGCTGGTAGTCTGCCACCGGTCTTTTCTTAGAATGGCAGACTTTGCTGTTGCAACCAGGAGCTGTGGCTCATTGTGGAGCTTGGTGGTGTATGCTGGGGGGGCTAGAGAGCTAGAGAAAGCCTTTTCGTTTGCAGAAAAAGAAATTGGAGGATATGAATATTTCTGTTTCGGGAAAGAAAATGCAGGGCTCTGCCTTCTCAGACTACCTTGACACCCCACCCCTAGGGAAGTACTAGCAAGAGCAGGGTTGGGTTTGCATGTCCGCTGCTCGCAGCATCCATCCTGAAGGGCCAGAGCAGCAGGGGAAGCTGCATGAATAGTGTTCCCTTGTTTTGCAGGCGTTGCAGAAGCCTGCGTGTAGGAACTGTTAACTCCTCGGATTAGCTTCCTCTCCTCACCTGCTCTTTCATCATTACTACCTCCCCAAATCCTAACCTCCAGAATTAGGAAGGTGGTGTTATCAACATCATGACAGCAATACAGAGGGCTCGCTCTGTGCCCGATGTTGTCCTAAACCCTCCTTCATGCATTTGCACACTTAGCCTCACAGCAACTCTATATAATGCAAATGTTTTTATTACCCCCTTTTTGCAGAGGTTCTTGCCCAAGACCACCCGGGTAGTGTGTGGCTCAGCAAGCACACCCACCTACCGGATAGCTGGGTGGGGATCTCAAAAACATTGAGTGTTTGCTATCCACTCCCAGCCTTTCTGCACTTCTTGACCATCTGTGTGTAGGTAATTCCCTCTTGTTAGCCTGTTCTTCCCTGAGACTGGGGAAACTGAAGATGTTATTGTCTCTCAAAATTGAAGCAAGTTTTTGTTTTACCAAGGGAGGGGAAGAGTGGTGCTGGCGGGGGGGGGGGGGGGTGCTGGATTTAAGGGAGCTGCAGAAAGTGTAAAATAAATAAGTGGGTGAGAACTGCCATTTTGGTCTTGCTTTTTCTTTTTTTTTTTGTTCTTTTTTTTTTTTTTTGTTCTTTATTGGTCTTGCTTTTTCAAGAATGCAAGTACAGAGGGAACTGGGTACCACCTGCTGTTTTACTTCTTCAATACCTTCCCACTGTGCTGTCCTGAGTAGTGCAAACACTTAACACAAAACCAAACCGCTAAGGATTTTCCATTGCAACTTCTTTCTGAGTGGTCCTGGAACCACAACCTGCAGTGGTTAACTGCATCAGCACAATTGCCAATTGTGGCCAATATGAGCTTTATCTCTTCTGCAGGTTGAAAATGATGTCCAGAATGGTCTCTACCATGCTATCTGGGCTACTGTTTTGGCTCACATTTGGAGGGACTCCAGCATTTGCCTACAGCCCCCGGACTCCTGACCGGGTCTCAGAAACAGACATCCAGAGACTGCTCCATGGTGTTATGGAGCAGCTGGGCATTGCCAGGCCACGGGTGGAATATCCAGCTCACCAGGCCATGAATCTTGTGGGCCCACAGAGCATTGAAGGTATTTACTATGTTCTGATGGTTTAAAGTATCCATTAGCATTTAAAATAATGTATTTTTATGAGAGTCTATGTTCTCTTTCTATTTTTCTTTTCTTCTTCTACATGCTGTATACATATGTAAGTAAATACACATAACTCACATGAGAATATAAGGTTTGTGTGATCAAGGATCTTCTCTAACAGCTGTAGCTCTACCACAAAGTCTGGTACATAATAGATGTTCAATTAATGTTTGTTTTAAAATATTTATATTTACTTTTATCTACTTGAAAGGCAGAGAGAGAGAGAGAGAGAGAGAGAGTGCGAAATTGCTCATCATCTGGTTCCTCACCCAGTGCAACAGCCAGGGCCAGGCCAGGCTAAAACCAGGACCATTAACTCCATCAGGATCTCCCATGTGGGTGGCAGGGACCCAAGCACTTGAGCCATCATTCACTGCCTCCCGGGATGCATTATCAGGAAGCTAGATTGAAAGCAGAGCACCTAGGACTTCAGCTGTCACTCTGATATGGGATGTGGGCATCCCAAGTGGTGGCTCAACCTGCTGTGCTACAATGCCCACGCTGTCAGTATTTATTGAATGAGTGAAGCAGCATCTAGCGCTATCCTTTCACAAAGACTGAAATCCAAATTCCATGAGTTCCCCCACTGCTAATCTTCAGGAAATTATATTCTGAGATAGCTGCCTTTTTCCTTCCTTCCTTCCTTCCTTCCTTCCTTCCTTCCTTCCTGTTTTCTTTTCCTTTTTTCTTTATTTCTTCTCCTTCCTCCTCCTCCTCTTTTTCTTCTTCTTCTTCTTCTTCTTCTTCTTCTTCTTCTTGGTTTATTTATTTATTTGAAAAGCAGAGTTAGAGAGAGAGGTCTTCATCTGCTGGCTCACTCCCCAAATTGCTGCAGTGGCTGGAGCTGTGCTAATCCAAAGCCAGGAGCCAGGAGCTTTTTCCACGTCTCCCACATGGGTGCAGGGGCCCAAGGATGTGGGTCATCTTCTGCTGCTTTCCTAGGCCATAGCAGAGAGCTGGATGGGAAGTTGAGCAGCTAGGACTCGAACTGGTGCCCATATGGGATGCCAGCACTGTAGGCTCTGGCTTTACCCACTATGCCACAGCACTGCCCCCCCTTTTTCTTTTAAAGATTTATTTTATTTATTTGAAGGTAGAGTTACAGAGACAGAGAGGGAGAGATAGAGTTCTTCAATCCACTGGTTTTCTCCCTAAATGGCCCCAACTGCCAGCCCTGGGCCAAGCCAAAGCCACGAGCAAGGAGCTTTTTCTGGGTCTCCCACGTGGTTGCAGGGGCTCAGGTACCTGGGCCATCATCTGCTGCCTTCCCAGGTGCATCAGCTGGCAGCTGGATCAGGTGGAGAAGCCGGGTCTTGAACCGGTGCCCATATGGGATGCCAGCGATGCAGGTGGTGGCTTAACCCAGAACACCACAGCATCAGCCTCAATAATAGCCAGTGCTTATAAAAGATCCTTAAAATGTAGGACCTGCAGGATCTGGATTTAATTCTTAGGGTTAACTCCAGTATACCTACAGGATCCAAAAGAGGTGATGACATTAAAGAGTTGAACTAAGTTAAAACTTTTAAAAATGTAGCAATCTTATTGACTAATAAATTAAGAATAATTAAATTATTCTAGGGTGGCAAAACTCTTTCCCCTGAAGCTTTTTCCAGGTTGCCGAGTTTCTGACAATATGGTTGTAATACTTTTGTGAGGCAGCAGTACTCACATGTTTGCTGTTTAATAATTTCTTTATGAAGAGAAGCTTAAAATAGCTCCTGTGAGCTAGAGCTGCAGCATCAGATTGGTGCCCTATTTTGCTGCCTTCCCTGGTCCTCTCTGCTGCTGAGTGGCTTTCTCCATGAGGTGGATGCTAAGCTAGTATCACGGGCAATTCAGGTGAAATGCGAGGGAGCGCTTCCTTACAGTTCCAGTGTTTGTCCATAGGAGTGGATCCTTGGGAAAAATATGAATTATCTCTCTGAACTTTCTCAAGACATACACCCAGCAAATATGATTCTCTGTGGATTGGTTAAGCATAATTTGGCCTGAGTCTATGGTTTCCTAAAAATGCTGTCTGCCTCAGGGTTCTGTGATTGCCGTGAACACTGTCGATATATGATTTTCATCGCTGTCTTGTTACCCATAGTTTTAATCCATTGAGTAAGACTAACTGGGTGAGGTTGTTGTCTCCTTAGGCTAACATTTGATTGCAGGAGAGGATTAATACAAATATTTTGAGTCAGCAAGCATGCAAACCCAGCATAGGGTGTGAAATCAGAACAAATCACACAGGGTTTCTCACCATCCCTTTTGAGAGAACCTAAACCCTCAGTGCCTGCCACCTATTGCTTCATACACACCTGTCTATTTCAGACCAGCTCTTTTGAGAGTTAATATCCGCCCTTTAAACACAGGAAGTGCTTGCTTAGTCATCCAGCTGTTGTCATGGAGAAGCTTTCCAAGTTTCCATTAATACCTGAGGCCTCATCACCTGTGCCAAAAATAAAATAAAAAACAGCCCTTCCCTGGGTACCAAAAGCCTATGTTTATCCAGTGCCTCATTTTATTCACTCAGTGTCCAACTACTTAGCACTCAGTATGGACCGGACACTGTGCAGGAGACTGGGGCAGCTCTGCCCTGAAAGATGCACAGTCTGAGGAGTGGGCACACACCTGCACCGTGACTGCAATTCTTCTGGGCACAGGCTTTGGCAGATGCACAAACAGGCTGCTGCAGTGGAAGCAGAGAGCAGGACAGTGGCTCAGGAATGGACGGGTGGATATAGGAAATACTTCCTTGGAGAAGCAATATTTGACCTAGTTTTTTTTTTTTAAGATTTATTTTATTTGAAAGGCAGAGTTACAGAGAGAAAGAGAGATCTTTCACCTGCTAGCCCACTCCTCAAATGGCCATAACGGCTGGAGCTGGGCTGATAGGAAGCCAGGAGCTTCTTCTGAGTCTCCCATGTTGGTGCAGGAGCCCAGGTATCTGGGCTGTCCTCTGCTGCTTTCCTAGGAACATTAGCAGGGAGCTGGATCAGAAGTGGAGCAACTGGGTCTTGAACTGGCACCCCATATGGGATGCCTGTTCCGCAGGCAGCAAGTTTACCCTCTGCACTACAGAGCCGGCCCCTTAACCTAGGCTTTGAAGTTTGAATAGGAATTCATCAGAGGACCACAGATGAAAAAGCAGGGAGGTATGGCAGTGCCTGGATCAGGACCATTCAGAATGGAAAACTCTGCTTCCATAATTACTCATGAAGCAGTGTGCTATCATTGCAATCTTACGTCTCCCCTCTCAGGGGCTGAGTAAGGGTCTGACTTGTGTTCTAGTTTTTTATTACTGTGTAACCAGTGACCACAAATGTAGCAGCTTAATACAGCAGCCATTTATTTATCTCAGGTTCCGCTGGTCAGGAGTTTGGCCTGGATTAATTGTCTTCTCTGTTCAGTCTCACTAGATGAGAAATCAGGTGGTGCCCAGAAGTGCATTCTCAGCTGGAGCTTGGAGTCCTTTCCAAGCCCCTAAGGTCATTGGCAGAATTCAGTTTCTTGAAGCCGTGAGATTGAGGTCCACTTTTTCTTGCTGGCTGGAACCCTGTCATTGATGAGACCTGTTTCAGCTCTTACCCACTTGTCCTCACAACATGGCAGCTCACTGCTGCAAAGCCAGAATATTCTTTCAAAGGTAGACTATCCCTTTAGTCTGGTGACTATAATGTCATAGAATCATGGGAGTGTCTATCCCATCCCCTTTCTCCCATAACAAGGGAGAGACAGCCCATTGTAGTCAAGTCCCTCTGCCCCATACTCAAAGGCAGAGGATGTTGTAGGGCTCAGCAGGTAGGAATCTAGGGGTTTATTTAGAATTCTGCCTGTTAGGCCAGCGCTGGGCTCACTAGGCTAATCCTCCACCTGCGGTGCTGGCACCCCAGGTTCTAGTCCCGGTTGGGGTACCGGATTCTGTCCCAGTTGCTCCTCTTCCAGTCCAGCTCTCTGCTGTGGCCCTGGAGGATTGTGGTGGATTCCCCAAGTGCTTGGGCCCTGTACCTGCATGGGAGACCAGGAGGAAGCACCTGGCTTCTGGCTTCAGATCAGTGCAGCACACCAGCCATAGCAGCCATTTGGGGGTGAACCAACGGAAGGAAGACCTTTCTCTCTGTCTCTCTTTCTCTCTCTCTAACTCTGCCTGTCAAAAAAAAAAAAATTCTTCCTATTACAGCTTAGATGAAAGCTAACAGAAAATAGCCCAATAGATCCTTTGAGTTTGAAGGAAAAAAAAAAGCCTGGATTTTTACCAGTTTTGGAATTGACATTGAATTTATTGGTAGTCTGATACCTACTCAAGTGAGTGTAGCAGATTTTCAATACATCCATTTATTTGCATTGTCTCTTCTCAGACACATTCACTCCTGCTAATTCTCTCTCACATATGTGCTGTATCTTCTATATCCTTTCCAACATGTATTTTAGAATTTTATTGTGAAGAACCAAGATGGAAAATATTTTTTCTAGTTTTTGTAGAAAGAATATACATAATGCATGTATTCTGACATGAAATTTTAACACACTTTTTTTTAAAAAAAAAGATTTATTTATTTGAAATGCAGAGTTACAGAGAGAGAGAGAGAGAGAGAGATCTTCCATCTGCTGATTCACTCCCCAAAAGGCCTCAACAGATAGGACTGCCCCAGGCCAAAGGCAGGTTTCAGGAGCTTCAACCAAGTCTCCCACATAGGTGGCAAGGGTCCGAGTATTTAGGCCATCCTCCACTGCTTTACCAGGTGCATTAGCAAGGAGCTGGATCGGAAGTGAAGGAGTCAGGTCTCCAACTGGCACCCATATAGAATGCCATTGTTGCAGGCACTGGTTTAACCTGCTGCACCACAGAGCCAGCCCCTTAACACTCATTTAACATGGTAGTTATGAACACAAATTATTACTAAAGGTACCTGAAATTGAATGCCAGCTCTATCATTTATTAGTGGTGT